AAAGTGACTCAATTTACAGTTTTACCTTTTTTCATTTTGTAGGACATATTCCTCACAGAATTTGGAACAGTGCGCCTGGGTGGATTTCAAAAAGCCCATAAAAAGTACAGTCTTTTTGCTGTTTTAATATTTTATAGGGTAATATACTAAGGTGTATGTTTGTGCGCAATAGTTTGGACATCCTTGGGAAACTGGTTTGCTTTTTCAAGAGAGAAAATTAACAAACACACATTACAAATTGCCCTAATCCTAAAAAGTTACTTTATGCTTTACAGATTGTGAAGGCCCTGAAGGCAAATTTGTGATTTTGTTATTATAATATTGACTTGACTTTTTAGTGTAAGAACTTCAGACAGACAGACGCAGTAATTGTGGAATGTGCACAGGTTTGGACACTTTGACAGCAACACTGTACCAGAGAGGAACAAATGGATTCCACTGAAAACCAAAAGGTTCTCAATGTAAATGTCATGCAGTCAGTCAAAATCTAAAACTGAAAAGAGGCTGATTCTACCACAGGACAATGATCAAAAGCAGACTTCAAAATCCACTGTGAACTACTTCAAGAAACACAAGACGAACATTTTGGAATAGGTCATGAAATAAGTCACAATGTAGTAACATTTGAACAAAGGCTCATTTTTAATGGCTGTTTGCTGCATAGGTTTTACTTGTTACTTTTCACATCATATATCAATAAAACTACGGAAACATTATTATATTGTGTGGACAAAGATTTGTTCAGTGCTGTTGTGAGGACATTTTTGTCGGCCCTCAAAATTAGGTTTAAGTTAGTATTAGGGTTAAGGCTGCAGTTAGGCATTTACTTGTGATGGTAAAGGGAGTGCACTGAGTGTACTCACAACTATAGAAAGGTACAAATATGTATGTGCGTGTTTGTTTGTGTGCATAATATTCATGTGTTTGTTTTATTTTTGTTTGTTTTTACCACCCAGTAGAAAATCGTCCAGGTCAGCCACAAATTCAGATTCGCCAAAATCAATGAGTTATATGGCGCCAGAGTTCTTCACAAAGCAGACCTATGATGCTAAAAGGTAAAAAAGGTTTTTACCAAAATGAGAAATTTACTTGAGACAACACTAGTGTTTGTTTCCTAGGTTCTTGCAGGTTTTGGGGGGCCAATATTTTGGCTCCAATGAATGATAATTTTTACTACTGATGACTCAATTTATTTTTTTACATTATTGAGTATATGAAATAACAAAAATACCGAGTGTCACAATTAGATACCTAGATTAAATACTGTACCTCGATACGATACAGTGCAATTCAGAGCATATTTAGTTAGGCTAATTTTAATTTTGTTTCTGTTTGAAAAACTATGCAAAAATTAAAGTGTACAGTATGTATTTAGCCTAAACAATTAAAAATGGTGAGTGTTAATTCACAGCAGCTTTTTATTTTAAGCAGCAAAAACCACATTTAAAAAAAAGGTATACTCTTTTCAACAAGTGAATAATGAGCAGTCATGAACAGCAAACCTTTGTACTTATCACCTTATCAAATAAAACATATACTTGCTATAGTGAAAAATCCAGCCAAATGTACTGGCTTGTTGAGTAATGGCTGCAGTCTTTAACAAACCAAAGATTTGGGGTTGCTTTGTCTTACTGCAACTGTAATAAGCTGAAAAATGATTTTTTAAATTTAATTTATTTAATTCAATTATTTGCCTATTGTTGTTACCTGCTTCATTATCAGCATTTGACATTTTTAATGCCTTTTGTACTTATATTACTACTTCTATTACTACTACCATGATAATATTTTTCTGCTTTATTTATAGTGATATTTGGTCACTGGGATGCCTAATGTATCAGCTTTGTACTCAAAAAGCAGCGGTAAGTCACACAAAGGTGAACAACTTAGCAAAGATATGTAATCAAAACATGAATGAGATTAAAAATACAAACATAATTAGCTAGTATTGTCTAGTAAAATATGTACCAGTAAAGAACACGCTATACTTTATCAATATTATGTATAATATTATGTAAAGCCAATTGTTTTAAGAAAATACAGTCAGGGGAAAAATTATTTGAACCACAGCTGATTTTGTAAGTTTGCCCACTAACAAAGAAATGATCAGTCTACAATTTCAATGGTAGGTTTATTTGAACAGTAAGAGACACAACAACAACAAAAAAAATCCAGAAAAATGCATTACAAAAAAAGTTATGAAGTAATTTGCATTTTCATGAATGAAATAAGTATACCGAGTATACACTTGTGACTTAATTCCACACTGTATGGCAGACTCCATTTCCTCAAATAACTTCTCTATCAGGAAACATCCAGTGTTGACCAGCTCAACAGCCGCAAGAAACTTAGAAGTAGGATTGAACTATTTGATTAAAACGTGTCTTTACAATCTTTCTGAATCTGAATCAGCTTTAATGGCCAAGTAAATTTTGTATACAACAAATTTGTCTCCGGTACAGGGGCTCTCTCTGTGTGTTTTCGACAGACAGTGTCCACAAGCATTATATACATATATACATAGTCCCAGCTATCAGACTGGTGTATGTAGCGAAAATACTGAGAGTGTTTTTCACCTTTCATGAGGTCTAACCACAGTGTTTTTCTCAAACCATGCAGTACTACACTGTTTGTGCATCACCAATACTTGTGACTTAATTGCAAACACATCCAGGTCAGGATCACCATTCCATGGCAGTAAACACAATCACAAATTTACTACATCCACAATGAAACTTTTATTAAAACCCTCCACTTACAGTTAATTTCCCAATGTATGGTTAATATGCTTTCTGTGTCTATGGCAGATTATTTCTTTCTGTTTGCCTTTCAGACAAGAAAAATAAAATACTAATCTTAGACATGGAATAACATGACCTACAGAGAGTAACATAAAACTATACTGATGGGTAAAATGTTTTGTTTCTCATACTGAGTAATGAGAAAAGTAATGTTATTACTATCATTAATAAGTGCTTTCTAACAACAATTCTCCTTAAGTTTTCAGCAGAGTCGATAGTCAACCTCATACCCAAGATACTTCGTGGTCCTCACCTATCCCTCACTGAGTTCTCACCAGACCTTTACTACCTCTTGAGGGACATATTCAGTAAAGACCCTGAGTCAAGACCAACAGCCAGTGAGATCCTGCAGCGTCCCTTTATGTTAAGCTGTATCTCAAAAAAGGTATGACATAGATCCAGTATTAAACTCACTCTTCCAGAACATACTATATATGTATATCCAACATAATTTTTTAAAAATCTTCTATGTACCCCCTTTTTAGTTGAGCAGTCACGGTTGTCTAAATATTTATTAGTCTGATGAACAGGGAACAACAAAAAGATGTTTAGATCTACACAATTAGGATACAGTTAACTTAGGTTCGTAAGGAGATTGGCAACAGCCCTCTGTACAGAGTTAAAGGAACCTCCAACCCCAACAAGGCACACACACACACACACACAAGTATGTATGAAGGAGCGAAGTGTATTTTGAAAAAAATAGAACCTTAACACTTAACCTTTAAGTGTCCATAAGCGCAATAGGTTATACTGAGCCACCCTAGTTTAGTGCACTTAATATGCACTAGTTCCTCAGTTAGTATTTAGAATACAGTTCAGTTACTCTTCTTTGTTTGATGCATCAATTTTATGTGGTACCAGGCCTGGCCCAAAAAAAAAAAAAAA